TATATATATATATATATATATATATAAATATATATATATATATATATAAATATACATGCATCAAATAAAATACATGTATAATAGATGTGTATATCGACGTCATAAATAATTATATGAGAACAGCGAAGAAATGGCTGAGCAAACGATAGCGCAAGTAAATGCATTTACTTGTATATGTGCATGTAGAGACATTGGTTGACATATACACAAGCGTTATGGTATACGCTTGTACTAGGATGGAAGAAGACTAATACAAGAAGAGACGAACACAAGAACTACGATGAGGCGACTAGGTGTGCCGTCATAAATCTGCCAAGTCGCGGCAAATTAAATCATTATCTGGAAGCTACGAGCAAATTGAATTGATGCATGCTCCGAGGCTCCACCTCCTCCACCCCCTCCACCTCCTCTTTCCAACGACGACTCAACTCCTCCGCGATCTTCGCCTCGTTATTCTTACCCTCATCTCCCATTGTTCATTCTCATTAACTTTTATCTTTAGATTTGTATTTTTTTATATCATTTCCCAGGGGTGCCCAACTTCGCAGGATGGCTAGTGTTGGTTTTTTTCTCAAGCAAACGATATTCTACAAAAATCTTTCTTACCAAATGAATTAATGAACTATGGATAAGCAGAACTATGGTCGCTATACGTATTAACCATAATCAGGGTTATATATATATATCCAACATGAAGTTTTATACATTCAGAGAGAAAGAGAAATGAAAAAGAAATTCTTCGCTCTGAATGGCTTGAAATTCACGAGCACAACTTTACAATTCTTCGTGCGTGCGTGCGTGCGTGTGTGTTACGCAAAAGAGTTAGTACGTATCCAACTGGCAAATAACTCGTGACAGTTTTCGCACTAAACAAGCCTACGGATCTGGCTAGACAAGTAACTAAACAAACAAAAAATAATACTGGATTATTATATCTACAACACAGAGCTTTCTAATGTAAGAGAAAGAAAAAAATAACTCCAAGGGAACGAGGTAAAATAAAAGGAAGAGAGAAAAATGAGAAAAAATGAGAAAAAAATGTTAATTGGATTTGCGAATGATAAAACAAACTAACTCGGCGACTGTGTGTAGCTTAAAGGTTGTAGACTTTAAAACGAGATCGCTACAATTTCATTATCCTTTTATCTATTTTTAATGTAATATTAACACAAGTCTCATATGACATTTTATTTTCTTTCTACATTTGGTTAGAAACTATATATATTCCGACATTATATTTTATTGACGAATAAGTTACGTTGGAGTTTGTGATATTAGTTTAATTAAATAACTAACTATCAAACAAGACAATAAATTCGATCAAACGAAGAAAATATTCAATAGATGCTTATGTTATTTGCAAATAATTGATAGAAAAATTCTGCTATCTAATCATAAATTGGTGTGGACAACATTTGGATATAAAACAATATCTATTAGAATGAAATTTGATTATGAAAAATGATGAAAAAAACTTACCAGACCATCGCAAGCAGATAAAGCAACTCGAGAATTCGGATGGTTACGGATGAATCCACGATAATGGCACTTGGTCGAACGGTTTTTTGCCGGTGTCCGAATATGGTAATCGCGTTTGTGTCTCTCGACGATCATACTCGATCCGATGAAGTCCTCGACAGCTGTCAATTCGATATGATACTCTTTGCCGGCTACTGTCAATCGATAATGTACTTCAGATCCGTCCTCGTCGTGATGATGACTCACGTTATGCGAGATTAACTCGCCTTTATGGCTAACCTTACGGGGTATCACGATCTCGTGATCGTAAAGATGATTTTCTAGCGTGTACAATCCTAAAAATAGAAACATTCACAAATAGTTACATACATGAATAATTGTTTCATTCGCTGATCGATTGAATTTTCATTCTCTGTATATGTAAAATAAATCTAAACTATAATAAGAAGATTGGTCGCACGCTTAATGTTTCCAAGATTTCTTGGCCGCCACGGTGCGCTTGTCCAGTGGCAAATACGAGCGTGGGTGGTAGTAAAACGGTCTGATTATGACATTAGTAGACTCGTAAACGCCATGGTGAAGAAGCGTGTAAAGAGGAGAAAAAGCCAATGTTCCAAGAGGAACAATGTCACTATCGTTCTGTACAAATGTTCAGAGAACTAGGAAAAAAGAAAAGTTATGCCGACTCTGTTGATTTGATCCATTCAATACTACAAGCAATTTCTTCATTTATTTATGTATTCGATAAAATAGTAAGAATTGTTGCGATAATAATAGTGCAATAACGTACGAATAGAAAAGATATAAAGTTGAAGACACGCGCAATGTGGAAACACTGGTGTTTTATTAGAAAGCTTCGGCTTGCTGCTCGGCCGACTTAAACGAACCTAAACGTGAATCATTTTTAAACGATTACAATTGTTCCCGCAATATTTGATTTTATATTCGATGCGATTTCATTCCATAGAACGACGTTAGAGCTTTATTTTCGTCTTTCGCGTTTCTTTAAGCAACACGATATCTGAATCAAACAAGCGATAAAGTTGGCCATGCTGTAGTATTTAAATATATTTGGTGTAGTATAAGACTTCTCAGAAATGAGAGAGTTACGTTAGTTGGTCGTAACAAAGTAGATTAGTAATGGGGAGAAATGGAAGGGTTGGAATAGCTTTAGGTTCAATTAATGGGAGGCGTTAAGCTCCGTTCTCTGCTTCGACTTCACGAGCAAGATTTTCTCGTGATATATGCGAATACAGAATATAGAGTGCGAATATACGAATGTAAGTATAGTATTTACTGACGTTACATACACTCACGTATGTTCCCCGCGTGATGGATGAAACGGTAAGGATTTATGTGGATGTTTTCCGACGTTCGCGCATGTACATGTGTGCTTGTCGGACGAGAATTCTAAACTCATTTGTCAATGGTCGCACATGTTGTGGACAACCAAGAGACACGTCCCGTACCGCACAAATATTTATTTTTACTTTTAACATTTTTCTCCATAAGTATGAATGTGCATATACTGCGCGCATATGTGCATAATTATGCGCATAATTATATGCATACCGTTCTCAAGGCGACATGGACGCCTTATCAAAATGTCCAACGAAAATTCTACTCAGAGAATACGGCATTCTTTTGTATTTCTTGTAATTTTTAGTACGAATCGAAAGTTTCAAGATCTTCAGCGTCGAATAGGGCCAGCGTCGAATAGGGCCAGCGTCGAATAGGGCCAGCGTCGAATAGGGCCAGCGTCGAATAGGGCCAGCGTCGATGTGCGTCTCAGCGAGAAGTACAATACCATAACGAGGATACTTGAGATTATTTTTCAAGTGTTTCAGTTTAAGTGTTAAGTTTATTTCGATCGAGCCCTCCCACCCATCGACTATTGTCGACGGTGATCTAACGCTTAAATGGATAATTGCGTTGAAGTATCCAAAGGGGAAGAGAAATAGGAGAATGCGTTCGCAGTTCAGCTGGCGCAATATGTCTTCATGTAAGAATCGTCTGACAGTCTACGTCCTTGCGGATTCATCTGCATGACCGCGCATCGCACTTGGGTGCTGACCGAGCCAACGATTCTCAAGTTGTCTCGATTATTATTACATCATATGTCCGATTTCTATACGTTACGCGCGATACGCCTAATAAATAGTAGTCCATTATGAATTATTGTTTCCGTCAATAATCATTTATCGTTAAACTTTCGACCAATTTTCTATAGTTTAATTCTGAACTTTTTGGTGGGCATCCTTTATATGGATACCTTTATATGGATACCTTTATATTGTGCATCCATTCGATAGTTCATTTTATACGACCTATCGTAGATTCCTATTTATGATCTCGCGCTTGAAAGAATTAAAACCCGTTTAAAAGAAGTTTTTCGAGTTGATCGCATTGTCTTTGTTCCTCTTTTTTCCTACGATTGATTCGTTCCTCTACGAGAACAAGCGAGCAAATTGCCGGAGTCTCCTTCACATTTTACGACGCTTTTCATTGTCTCATAGAAGGCACAAATTTATATTACAAATTTATCGCCTGTTCAGGTGTAAGACGGTTGGCAAAAGAGTGAGTGAAAAGTATTTTGCGAATAGCAGAGAGCTTGCCTCGGTCACCTGAAAAATTTTCAATATAGAGAAATAGAGAAGAGAGAGAGAGAGAGATTCATGTCATAAACTTGAAATGTCGATAAGTTAATCGTTAGCTAATGTTTCAAAGATATAGAAACGATCCAGCGAGACTTGCACATTTGCAGTCATAATGAAAATATATCGAACGCAAAATAATTTCAAACCATTTGGAGAAGGCTAGATATAGAAACTACGAAAAGAAACTTGTTTCACGTTTACGTTATAATACGAAGAAACTTTATCTCTAATCGCGTTAGCTTATATCACTCGAATCCATTACTTTTAAATGCATCAAAATATGCATTTCAATTACCTCTGTACTTGGACAATTTGGGAAAATCTATTTTTGGATATTAATGATATTTAACGCGTGTTTTATTATTAATAATTACTAAATAATGTATCCGATTAAATTTATTTATCGATTCATTCGATAAAATGGGGATACACCTACTTTCATTTTCCCCCACAAGTAATGTTTTTTTATTTCCACGTATTTATTTCTTAGTAGCAACATTCTTTACGATCGGATGTTTTCCTGAAAGTCGGAAAGCGAGCTTGAAGAGCGTCCTTGATGGCAAGGAGATCAGGATCGATCTACGTGCTTTCTACGCATAGTAAACTACGCGACAAAAAAAGAGAGAGAGAGAAATGGAGCTTGAATGAAATTGCACAAACTTATATATAAATAAAAGTGACTTTATAAATTTGAAAATTTTAACTATTTTTTTATTAACTTGGCATTATTTAAGTAATTGGAAATGGGTTAAATATGGATGAGCAAGCGCGTCGTGATTTTCATGCAATTGTTGCATGCCCTTCAAGCCCTGGAAAAAGCAAGACAGAGAGAGAGAGAGAGAGAGAGAGAGGAATAAGTTTTTGTAGTACAAACCAAGTATGCGTATAGTACGAGACTAAGAGTAAAAGGAAAGAACAACCTACACGTATATTGTATTATACATATATATATATATATATATGTTCATAGTTCGCTCGGTGAACGGCGTAATCATCATTATACCATTATCATTAAAGACGGAAAAATGGCGGTACGACCAATCAGCGCAACTCTCTTAGAGTGGATAGGGTTAAACGCAGGTGGGGACTAGGATAGAAACGTGGACCTCCCATTAGATACGTTGATGTATTATGTAAATTATTATGGTACTGTACGCAGTATGTTTTGGATTGTTATCGTCCAGGAAAATAAAATTATCTTTACTATTAATTATTTCCCCCTTGTAAAGTAGATTACATTTGAAAATATCGATATAAACAACCCTCTGATTCATTATTTCACTCCTAAATGAATTATTATTTACACTTAATAATATAATACAATGTTTAGTTTTTTAGTTTTTAGAACTACTAACTGTAATAACTAACTAATCTATACCCCAGGTAAACTTAAATTAAATGAAGACTGTACATTAAGGTCTCACCTACATTATAAATATTCCAATATTATCGATATAAATTTATCAGAAAAGCTCGCTCTCGAAAGGAAACGACGAACGCGCCGATAAGCGAAACTTCATCTTATATATGTATTTAACATTATAGATATTTTGTGGAAAAAAAAAGAAGAACAAACTCGTTTGCGATTTCCCATCTGGATTCCAGTCGTCGAGACAAAACCGGAGTTAATCTCAACGAGACGCGCCAAAGTTGTCGACAATATTCCAAATTATTAGGCATCGAGAGTGATTCTTTATCTTTGATAGCTGATGTTACGGTAGAAACTAGTTTTCCTTTACGATGATTCACTTGGGCTTATCTTACACTGAAGATTATCAACTGATCCCGAAGAAACGCGTATATTAGCATATTTCTCGGTTCATCGTATTCATTAAATCAACGCCGATAGTCGTGGAAATGAATAAGTAATTCATGCTGTTTCGAATTATTATAATAAAAGGATCACTGATTTTATGCGATAGGTATGATTAGTTTAGAGCTTCTCGATTTAAGGATGATAGATAATATTGAGTCGTTTGGTATAGTTACCTTTCATTATATGGACAGAGTTTTTAAGTACTAGTTTGTGTTACTTTTTCGGGTTAGTATTATCAATATGAGATATTCTTGTTGCCATCCTAATATTATAGTACTAGTCGTAATATAACCGGCATATAATAAAATGATGAACAATGAACAATGAAATATATTTAAAATACGGTATTACTAATTAGAAGATTCAACTGATTGTGAGTAGTTTGCAATGCTTTAAAGAACATTTTACAATACCCGATACTGTTGTACGATTGAGAACGTCCGTAAAGATATCGACTTTTCGAAGAAGAAAATGAGAGTTCGTCGAGTAGGTCGTTCGTTGTAAAACGATTCGACACAATCCCGGCACTATGTTAACAAAATGGTGCTCGAGCAATCGGTGCTCGAGCAATCAGGGCTCTCGTTTCTTCGTTAATACCAAGAGACGAGACAGATGGTCTTGTTTTTATGGAGAATTAGAGACGCACGCGACTTTAATTAAATAAACCGACCGGCAAGGTTTTCAAACGCATTTTCTACCGACGAGATTCAACTAGATCTCACGATAAGCTAAGTTCAATTCTTGTCGACTCTATTAAAGAATAAAGAAGCACCTCAATTAACGATTCAAGTTAGGAAATAATGAAACAGCAAACAAATATATCCTCTTTTTACAACAATACCAAACTTATTAAGTTGGCTACTATATGGAAGTACCTGCGGGGGCAGACAGGACTTAGAAGAAACCGAGCAAATAAAAGAGAAGAAGGCTTGCGTGGGTTAGATCGGTAATAACGTATCGTGCCCACACGAGAGTGATCCTTTTCGTCAGATATCGCGCTAAATCCTCTTTCTCTTGGAGCAAACTAAACATTTCTATTTCTGTCCGAAGATCAGAACTATCGTCGACTTGGAGGAGCAGCAGCGGAACTTTCTTTATATGAAACAAAAATAGAATAGGTACACCAAGAGAAAGATCTTTTTCATATTTATCCACTTATATTTATTTCATCTATACTTTCAAACGCCTTTTCTTCCTATTTTTTTCTCCAATAAATGCTCATAGAAATACCTTTTCCAAAAAGAATAGAAATGGTCGTCTTTTGTTGGTCATTCTTTTCGTGAATAAAGATATTACATCGTAACTCGTCGTAACTCGTTGACTCCAGGGAAATCGTGAAATCCTTTATTACGCTGTCGAGGGGAACACGTTGTGGCAGGTAGTTTTACAGTTCGATAAGTGACGGCTGGAATCGTCGGCAAAGAAAGAAGAACAAACCGAAGGAAAGGAGAGAGAAAATACGGATAGAGAAGGACAAGGAAAGTAGCGAACAAGGAAATATCTCACGTGCCGATACTATTCGTTCCTAGCTCTTCTCCCGTAGGGAACTTACATTAGAGACTTAAGGATTTACAACTTTCTTTGGCGAACTCGTGTAAACGCATTGCTTTGACTCGGAAAAAGAGAGGGAGAGAGAGAGAGAGTTAATAAATCAATCAATTTTTCAAGTAATCAAAATATTTGCAGACTTTTAAAATCTATACTAAAATAAATACAACTATCCACGATAAAATCATCAATATAAATTATAGCTGCAAATTTGTGTATACCTAAACACCTTTTCCGAATATTTAGAAATAATATTCTATACATTTTGAATTAGGTACTCAATTACTTGGAATATTTGGAGTAATGGGATTGTTGAATATAATTTGATTAATGTTACCTTATGTCTCGAAATAATATCAGATATTCGAGTATCCGGAATACTTGGAATACCCGCGTTACCAAGTAATTGGCCTACTTTATATATCAAATCCATAAGAAAGATTTTGAACAATCTAAAACTATAATATCGACCATTAAAAGTTCTTCTTCCCATAACTGAGAGAATTATCTTAAAGTTATCTAAACACATGAAACGTTACGGAGATAAAAGCTCATGTAACACGATGGATTACGTCCACTATATTTTCTTGCGCTCTCAATCTGATACCTTTTACTCGTTTATATTATTCGTGATTTATGAACAGGTGATGCAGATAAATGCTTACTTCGATACATGCTGGCGAATTTGAATTTGTCGCAAGATGCGACAATTTTTTCATCAAATAATCAATAAGGTTCATCCTCCTCTTCCTCTCAGGCAAATTTATCTATGATTTAATTATTCCTACGTCCAATATGGGAAAACAAAATGGACGTGACAGATTTTTCCCTTGCGATTACATTACTACGGGTTTGTCGTTCGATGACGCTGATCGTTCAATTATTATTTCCTTAGGGAATACGAGCTAACTATTTACTTCGCTGTAACGACGATTGACCCCCACTTTGTTTGAATTTCATTTCGCAGTATCCATACTTACATACGTATAATACGTATTGGAACCCACAAGTCAAATTGTACACAACTGATAAGAAAATGATTTTCATTAAATATTATGGCAAATCGTTTAAAAAGCTAGATGCAGTAAGATACAAAAGAGGACAAACCGAATATTACTTAGAAAAATAATCGTTAATAAGTATAATATATGGATTGGCAAGATCCAGTCGCGTAGGATTCATTGATAGCATTTGCCCACGCGGTTCTACACGCTAGTACAAGTCGTACTTACGTCGCCGACTTTTCATTTTCTATTACTTTTTCCTCTACTTGTTGTATTTCGAATGAACACGAAGCACCACCCACGCCAAACGATGCGTTTACTAGCTGATGCTGGATTTTCAATGAGTCTTTCCATGAATGGATTCTACGTCGTCATCGTCTTATTATTTTCTTCTACAAACATGCTAAGCTGCTGTATTTTTCCTCAACTTCCTAGTCACTTGCTCGTTTGTTTATTTCTTTGGCGCCATGTCAGTATTCTTCTATCCTGTTACTTTTTTTATATACATTTTCATTTGAATTAAATATAAAAGAACACACATTGAAATAAATCTAAATACATATGTGCCCATAATTATGAAAGTGCTCTAAATCATATATCTCTTGTTTCGAGATATAAGAAGGATTACATTTGAACACTAAAAATGAATTCTATATAATATATTGAAATAACAAACACTATCTCTGTTATAATAAAAAGAAAGACAAAAAAATGTCCTTCCCACCCTTATATATACCTTGCCGCCGTATATAAGTACTTAACGTAATAACCCAAAGTCGTAACAGAGAAGTGGACGGATTACTTGCTTTTCTATGGGATTTTCTGGCCCGTGGCGTAACGTGTTTTCTGTGTAAATGACGATAAGTAAACGACTCTTTGGGTATCCCATAATTTTCCACGATGATAATAATTGCACGATTAACGAGAGACTATTTTCGCATGAGTCTTATCCTTTTATTTATTTTACAAACCAAACGTGTATTTAATCAAATTAGAAATAGAATCTAATAGACATTTTAACATCGAGATAACGCATGTGTATCGATCGATTCGATTCTGCCTTTGAAATTTGCGCTATCGGCGAGTTCTCGGCGGCACAAATGGCGCGTAAAAGATGAGAGATTCGAAAGTTATGCCGATTTGCTGCCGGCGAGAAAACGTCCATGGTGGTCCAGACCATATCTGAATCTCGATATATTGCGATAAGATCAGCAAAATCCTCGCGGAGATATCAAACGCTTCGTAAATTCCCTGCCCCGCTGGCTATTCCTTCTCTCACGATCACGATCTTGTCATTTTTTTTCCCTAACGTTCTGGAACTAAATGAACGGTAGACCAAGTGCACTCATTAACAACTGCACTCATCCTAATTTCCACTATTTTTCCTTAAGGTTTGATCAACGTTCTTGTCAAACCTTATTTCGAATTCGATTATGTAACCTTCAGCTAGGAATGCGAGCACACCGATCACGGAGAAGATTAACACGAGTCGAATAATAGATCGTATTAATCGTATAATAGTTGGTATTATTTGTAAATTTCAACTGTAGAAGAAAAATAAAGGAGTGTTATGAAAATTGTTCGATTACTTGCCTCTTACGTTCGAAGGTTCTCGTCGCAGAGTTTCCGAAGTTGTACGAGCGATCACGATGAACATTTGCAAGATGAAAAGACGTCTCATTGTTAACGATCCTTTCAAAGATTTTAAATTCAAATCTGTTACAGCGAGCTTTCCAACCGATTCCCGTCGCATCTTTTCTATTTTATCACGATTCAGTATGTGCATTCTGAAAATGATTGAAAACATTCTATTAGTAAAACGGAATAAAAATTGACAGAACACATCGGAAAAATGATTCCGAAACAATTGTTAAATAGCTTGTCTTCTTTTTTTTTTTCTTATTCGAATAATACAATCGTAATTAGAATTATTCATAATTGAAAAAAAAAGAAAAAGAAAATAAAAATGTAAAGGCAAAACACAATGCGAGTTACATATAATACATTAGATATAGCAGGTATTGAACCTAGCTCCGATTAAAAAAAAAAAAAAAAAAGATATTAACCAGGAGACTGAGAAGAGAGATCGAATTTTAATAAGACACGCTATTATGACACGCCTTTGAGAAAACGCAAGGTTCTCGAGCACGTATGGAAAAACGCTTTCCCCTATTGGTCCGCGCGCATAATAACACGTGTTCCTCGTACACGGGCCATTAAACATGGGGAACACGTTGCATCTATTGGTCCATTGTGTCATTTCAGACTGCCTCCTTGCTCTCCTTGCCACCACTTTTTCCTTTCACGATTTTCTAATGAGATTGGAATAGTACTATACTACTCGTGTATTACAAAATTAAATAAGAAAAGAAAGAAAAAGGAAAGGAATCGAAGGAAAATGTTCTCGTTATATATTAAGAAAATTTAAAAAAAGTATTAAAAGGAAATGAAATAAATGGGAAAAAGTTAATAAATCAATTGGATTGAATTAACGAGAAATAGTAAATAACTGTAAAATAAGAGTATATGTAGTCTTAGAAGTTTCGATTGCGTTTTTGAAAATAAATACGAACAAGGGGGTTGGGATACAAAAAAATGGTAAAAAATGATTAGAAGTTGGAAAACTACTAGAAAAACCGATCTGCGTTAAAGAATCATTCTAATTGCGGCTAGCATTGTCAGTTAAAAAAGTATACGAAAATTGAACAGCGTCTCTAGAACAACATATTCACATACCTTTCTCTTCCTTTCGCTCTCGCTCTTTGAAAGTATCGAACTGTAGGATCGAACTGTAGGATCGAACTGTAGGATCGCAAACGATCGATTCTCCAATCCTTGACGCAATTAATTTAACAGTGAGAGGGGCAGGAAACACGCTTTGATGAACGCCGTAACGCGTAGGCATACCTGCACGAGGATAAATGAAATACTTTGAGGAAATAGTTAGAGTAAGCGAGAGAAGGAAAGAGAGAGAGAGAGAGAAGGAAAGAGAGAGAGAGAGAAAGCGGATGTTGTAGGTACCCATTCCGAATTTGGTCGAACGAGATTTACTCCTACGAGATCCCCCGATGTTTTTTTTTTCTTTTTTTTTTATACGAGTTTAGGTAGGAGCTATTAATATGACGCATTACTGCTTCGATTCTCATTCGATAAGACTACGTAGGTGGGCGGCCTTCCTTTGATCTTTCTTCTTTTGGACACTCTTGACCCTCGACTTTCGTAAAACCAATGTGCTACTTCATCGATCATTTTCTTTTCCTTTTTTTTTTTTGTTTCAACTTCATCGACCCGATCGTAACGTCTCGACTAACGTAATCACTCCCAAGGGCTAATTATAATCATATTTTCATCTCAGATTTATATATTAGGTAAGTAATAACAATGTATGAAAGGAATGATTTTATTTGTCATCTCAATAGAACAAGAAATATCTTACAATTAGTTGGAAAGAATTTTGTACGATCTTATTAACATCCGTGGTAGCATCTGTACCGACAATTTAATTTTATCTCAAACAAGATTACAAACAAAAAAAATAAGATTTTAATTTTAATCATTAGAATTATCTGAAACATAGTTAAGATAATCATTTTAATAATAACCCATGAGCAGTCATTTTCTTATAATAATCTGCCAATTATTTTCTTATTTGTTATTAAGTATAATAAGATCACATGTCGGTGTTGGCTTTTTCAAAATAAAACCATGATTATAGATTGAACGATGGGTCGATAAGAAAAAAACTTTTCTTCTAGTAAAAGAGAAAAAAAAGAATTCGACTACTCACGTCGTCGCTCTTGGCAATGTAAATGAAATCATCCAGGTTCTCGTTCGTAGAGTAAGGGGTGTTATTATATTTGTGCGAGTATGCGCCTGCGAATCACGGATGACTTGCAAAATATGCGTGTGTGACATCAGGAACATCCGTGTATTCATTGAAATCGATTGAATAGAGATTTCTTTCTTATTTAAACATACATACGTACACTAACATTCGGAAAATATGTAATATATGCTATGTATATATGTAAGATAGATAGATAGATAGAGAGAGAGAGAGAGAGAGAGAGAGAGAGAGAGAGAGAGAGAGAGAGAGAGAGAGAGAAGTATATTTACATATGTATCCATAGGTATCATCGTGTATACTACTATGATCAAATACTAATACTACGGTACTAATACTATTCCGACTCATAGAAAATGTGATGAAAAAGTAAGGTGACTTTATTGTCCAATCGAAAAATTTGCTTACCTAATATATTCTAACTTTCTATATATTGTAAATAAAAAAATGAAAAATATTTATTCATACACTGAAAGAGTAAATTCAACGAGTCACCGTATATCAAAGTATTTTTATTTTCGTGAGAAAGTCTGGTTGTATCTTGAAAAAGGATATATGTAGTTGAATCGAGACAAGTTCGTAAAAGACATCGTCTACAAAGACCCGAGAATATCCGGCACGATATTCGCTTTGAGAAGGAAAACTGGCGCAATAAAGTGTCGATCGTGAACACCACGAGTATCGAAGGGAACCTTTCAGTTGTTCTTGTTGTCGAGTAAATATTTATGCATGATTTATGCTACCATTGCAGCTGAGATTGCGTACTTACTATACACGAATATACTCTTTATCAACTATCAGGTTGACAAGGTACCCTATACTCACTTCATTGTTTCTTTCTTTCTCTTGATCTTTTTATTTCTTTATTTCTATATTTGTTATATTCTCTATCTATTCGTTAAGCCACTCTCTCTTTCGTTATTTTTATTCTTTCTTCCTTTTTTTCTCCTTCACTGAAAATGATGGATCGAAATTGGAACGAAAGGTCATTTACATTTTCGAATTAATCATGATCAGTCATTCGCATCATTCGATCTTGAAATGGGGTTTTATTATTTCCTTGCTTTAATAAAAGTACGTTCGAATAAGAGTTTATGTAATTCTAATTGAAAGGACTAACAGAACGAATTTAAATACAAGTGATTAAAATAAAAATATTAAATTAACAATAAATTGTACTGAAATGTTGCTTGCTTGCTCGTGTAATGTCATTGCGTTAACGATAATTTAAACGTGGCGAATGTTCGAACGTTTTACCAGAATCCTCCGTTCCCCTAACGATATAATAATCACGCGTTTTCATCCCTTCGCAAGTCGACGTTTCATTTAATCCGCTGAACGGTTGCTTTCCGTGTTCCGATCGAGAGCGTGTTTAGGTTGCACCATTTTTCAAAATCTATCTATCGATTAATCCTTCCAGTTATCAATTTCTCGTTAAGACCCTACTCGGATTTGTAATTATACGATTGCACGGATAACTCTTAACTTCATCCTACCATAGAACTTTTTATTTCACCTGAATTTCTTGCGCACGAAAATATTTTATATTATTATTTTGTATATATAATTTAATTCAATGTTATATATATATATATATATAGAAAAATCTTATGGAAAATTCGTCAAGATGCGCTTTGTTCTATACAACAAACCAGGCGTGGGGTGAAAGTTATTATTCATGTAAATAAAAAATAATAAATAAAATGGCTATATTGGGAATCTAACTATGAGTTATCTAACTTACATGTGCCGAAATAGCTCAGTTGGGAGAGCGTTAGACTGAAGATCTAAATGTCCCCGGTTCAATCCCGGGTTTCGGCAAGACATTTTTTTTTTTCCTACTATTTTATCTAATTGTTTATGTGTGGATATATAATAATAAAAAGAACGATATAAACAAAATTAATTAAAAAAAAATATAAAATAAATAATATTATTTTTACTTATATAATTTTGAAAGTCACCTCGTCTCCATCGCCGAAATAGCTCAGTTGGGAGAGCGTTAGACTGAAGATCTAAATGTCCCCGGTTCAATCCCGGGTTTCGGCAGGACATTTTTTTTTTTTTTACAATTTTTTCCTCAAGACCTAAAGCAATCAATGACTATGAAAGATAGTTGTAAAAAGCTATGGATAAAAAATGGAAGAGTATTGAAATTTCGCGATTAAATTTGGACCAACTCAAATTCATTCTTTTGTGATGGATATTTTGTATTAATTATTTATACAACCGAAATTTATTTGTGCTATGCTAACGTTACAATTGGAGTCGTCATTATTCGACCAGCCTGACGGATACTTGGATACTCGATAATATATCCAAGCAAATAAAAAATATCAAGATATGTTTTATATTCGAGTATTCTATGTTAAAAATTAATAGTCAAATGAACGCTATAATAATCGATGATAATAAATGGAATATAAATATGCTTGTAAATCTATCAGATTTGCATTTTTGTTCGTTCGTCCAGGTATCTTTCCGATTATCTGGGTACCCTGCAGGTCAGGTAGGACTCGTGTAATATTTAATATTTCGAGATAGAACCGGATACTGGGATACTTGGGCGTTATACACGCCCTTTTCGTACGCCTTTAAGTATGGAAAATCAATGGAAGCATATCTGATATGTAATGTTGCATTGTTTTAAATAAAGGCAACAACTGTAACGATATCGCAAATAAGATTTCCGGTGTGTGTGTGATTTCGATGTTAATCATTATTTTAATTACAATTAATGTCATATAATTGTCAAAAAGTGTATTGGGAAGTGGATTATTTGAAAGATCAATATATGTATTCGAAATCGAAACGTAAAACCAATATTAGGGAGAATCGAAATATTGCAAACAATTAGAATACTTTTTCATATTTTCCTAATTGTTTAAGAAAAGCAAACCTGTTATCGGAACCTTTTACAAACTAAATTTACAGATATATACTCTTGTTTCAAACATTATTCATAAAGAAAAATCGTTTGAAAGATATTAAAGATACAATTGGAAGAATCCAATCCATGTTCGTTGGAATTCAAACTAACAGGGTGAACGAAAATATTGATCGGTGGTAGTCGATTACATGTAGGCGATTAAAAGGTCCAACGTTTTAATCGAAACGAAGTAGCGCGGAATAATAACGGGTTTTAAACTGGGCTCACCTTGTACCTGTGAGTCGGCACTACGTTTGATTTACGACCGACGAAAGTGTCAACCGTGTGTGCGTGCCGTTTGTTCGAATCCGACGACGACGACGACGCAGAGAAAAGAAAAATTAAAAGAATATAATATAGTTCTATTCGATAGTTAACGTGGATATATCATTCCAATATAATTCGAATGACTTTTTAATTATCCTATGGGAGTTTAAAAGTTAGTTTGGAAACAAATTTCGAACATTTTCGAGAATTAAGAGTCAACGTGGAACTATGAATTATGTGAAACGAATGATACGCGAGTGTAATAATGAGATATAATAAAAAATATATGAAGTAGCATTTAATATTCAGTTAAAAAAGTTCCTTTTTTCTGTGTTTTCGGTAATATTTCCAAGAGCAATTGGACAGGAAGATTTCAGGATCGTCAGATACCACCATCGATTGTAATTGGTCAATCGAAAAGAGTATGATCGAGCAAAATTGTACTCACCCTGATATCGTAGAGATATGAGATCGGTGAGGACAGCTGATCCGACGTTAACCACGTGGTATGGGGTTTGTGCGAGCGCGCGCGCGCGCGCGCGTGCCAACGCAAACTAGAGGGGTTCGAAGTATTCAGCAGCACAACTCTAAACACGAATATATACGTCTGCTCTTGGTCTTATATAAATTATATTTCAAAGTATTATTTGTTATCTTCTTCCTCTTCTTCCTCCTCGGAATCAGTCCTTTCGAATCCTCCTCCTCCTCGAGCCCTGGAAATTCGGCAGAGAAAGACGTTAGGGGCTCGTCGTCGTGGATTGTCGCTTTTCGGCGACATCGAAAGTCGTCGAAAGGAAATATTTCCGAGGACAACCGCGGACGTGGTGGTTTGTCGCCGGTTACACACGCTCGGAGAACGAGTCGTGGCCACGGTTGCCGTCACAACACTAGTGGCCTGGTACACTCTTCCCTTGGTACACACATCCACTTTTCTTTCTTCCTTCGATGCTTTCCGTCTCGCTTCCACCTCCCTCCCTCCCTCTTTTGGCCTTCTCCTCCTTCACCGATACTACTATACCAGTCGTAAAAGCGCACACGAATGCAACAGGGCGATCTACTACTAGGTAAGACTAGTTCCTCCACCCAGTTCTGGACCCGTTTTCTCTTACCTCTCTCTTTCTCACACGCGCGCGCACTCACGCACGCACACAAACACACCTCTTCTTCTTTTTCTTCGGCTCTGTTTTTTCTGTCTTTCTCTTGAACATTTTTCTCTCTCCCTCTCTTTTTTTGCTTCATTTGTGTGTATCTATCTGTTATATACTATGCCGCGTTGTTTTACATTAAACGAACGTTCGGGCTAAAATATAATAATATCATGCTAAATGACTCTTCGTTTTTATCTACTATACGTTTCTCTATCGTTTTATCATTCGATATAGTTTTTTCGGTTTTTCTTATTTTCCTGGTAATCGCAGTTGCGTTTATTTAGACAATTTTCAAATGGTTCGAAAAATGGAGATCACAAGTTCTAACAAAGGTTCGAATTTATGAACGCATATAACGATGACTCGTCGAATTAGCGGTTGTGTAGTTATCCCTTGTATTACTATATCATCGAGACTCGGAGACGAGCGTAAGCTACGATACTCTCTCTCTCGCTCGCTCGCTCGCGGTTGTCGTCGAGCAGTTTAACATTGCTAATAGGCGCGTCCACGCTTGTAAAAGCGGATAATTGGTCGTTAGTTATAAGCCACTGTCGTACTCGATGTCCTTTCCTTCATCTTCCATCTCTCTCTCTCTCTCTCTCTCTCTCTCTCTCTCTCTCTCTCTTTCACTTCCTTCTTTGCTAGCCTTCTCATCGGCAGGTTTCATCTTGGATTCACTGGCAAAGGGCTCGTAGCCTCTTGACGCAGTACTTCCGAACGATCCTAGCAATTTAACCATCTTCTTCGGGCTTTCTTTTGAAAGAACTAGAGAGAGAGAGAGAGAGAGAGAGAGAGAGAGAGAGAGAGAGAGAGAGAGAGANTGGATTCACTGGCAAAGGGCTCGTAGCCTCTTGACGCAGTACTTCCGAACGATCCTAGCAATTTAACCATCTTCTTCGGGCTTTCTTTTGAAAGAGAGAGAGAGAGAGAGAGAGAGAATTTAATAATTATTTTCCAAGCAACGACCGGTTGTCCTCGTCTAGGAACACGGAGAATGAATGTTGCTCCTGAAAAGACCACCCAGAGTGGCCTCAATATTGCTTACCTCCCTCGATCGTTTCCTCCACGATTTTCTTCTAATGAGAAATTATGGAAAAGTTGTTTTAGTTCGTTAATACTATTAAATAACTTGATAATTTCACTTCGTTCCTCATTGAATACGTTATATTACGTCTTTATTTCTTTTACTTTTCTTTGAAAATCTAATATAATGGTAAGACAATCATAAATCCTGATCGCAATGGATTTTTATTTTCAATCGAATTACATTCATTAGTTTCAATGTATTTTATATTTTCTATGGGAATTTTTTTGTTTACAAAATTCCATCCTAGTCTCGATTATTTTTGTTGAACTTCGATTATTATGCTGGTATATTAAATTTCGTTCGTTTGTTGTTTTAAACACTACCCATTTAAAAAGATTTTTCTTTCGATAAGTTTGATATTAACGGACAAGGCAGCGATTGTTCGTGCTCTTTGAACGCGTGAAAAACGCCAACTACGATTGACTTATCAGGCCCGATTCAGTTGCTGATTGCAACCATATTTGGATCGATTTCGCTGGCATAGCTTCGGTTGAAGTGCCGGGCCCTCTATCGGGTGAATCGTTTTCAAACTAATATCCATTCGTTCATACGCTTTTATCTTCCAATTTCATTCAAATATCCACGCTTTAATCGAATTATTTGAAACATCTCGTAATTAATCCGATTTCATTAGATAATTTCAATAAATATTTCAACGATTCGATGTATTTCAAAGAGAATTTCTTTTCATTTTATTCCCACACTCGGTATATTCGTTACGAACACATCACGTAACTTGCGACCAAACTTTGAAACAGGACGAAAAAGCGAAAATGATCGTGGGTATCGAAGTCTGCTTCCATTTTGAGTTCTCTTAGCTCATTGGTTGGTCGACTGGTACCTTAAACAGAATTCAACTGTATGGGTTTCCGAACGCTAACTTTGGGATTCATTCTTTTTTCTTTCGTCTCGCTTATACGAACATATGTTGCAATGGTAACATTAAATTACGTGGGAAATTGTTTACATCTGGTCTCTGATTACTTTTTTATTCGCTAAAATGAAGCTTTTAGAGAAATGTTCAAAGGTATAATATTTGTCTATAAAGTGCCTCGAATATAGGATGGCTGTTTCATGTGAAATATTATACTTAGATTTAGAAAACAAAAACAACAAAATACTATCGTTATTAGAAATTTCTTATTTGAAATATTAAGATATCAAAAAGTCTGTACACAAAGTTACTTTGATTTTTCCTTAATAGTCAATTTATACGTTTAAATTCGTTATTCAATTTTTCCCCAAAACTTCCGATATTATCTATTTGGTACCATCTTTTGTTTATTAAAAAAAAAAACAAAAGCAAACATTTCGCACATAGTCCAGGAGTGTTAGCGCGAGATTTCCAATTTATTTGAATTTATTTGAATTTATTTTACATTTCACACGATATTCACTCTTGGATAACCTTCGGGAAATTTGAAAAATCATTCTCTTCTAGTATCAGCAGTGTTGGATACGTGACATATTTAAATTTTCGGTGCTTGTTCCTGCCGTGAGCGATAAAACGTTTGTGTTTTATGGACGCTCGCTTGTCGTACGTGGACTGTAACCAATAACGGAAGTTTGCACGTCGGTGAAGTGAAAAATTGAATCGTCGTTAAATCGATGACACGATGATATCCTATCGTCGATAGGAGGGAGTATCGTTTGCTTATTGACACGCGTACTATCAAAAACAAATCAAAAACAAATCAAAAATATAACAAAATATAACAAATTATAATAGTTACATCCTCTCAAATGCAACGATCACAAATATTTTTGAACGGGTATATTACAAAGAAATTATTAATATTATTTATAAATTTTACTTTAATAATTTATTCTATTTTTTGATATACTTCATTGTTTACGGTGGTATAGTTATACTATACACAGGGAATACTGGGCACCACTTTGCTGGCCAGTTAATAAGATGAATACGTGACGATGGTTACCCCCATTAATACAAGTTAAAAAGGATTGTAAGGTTTGCTCATTTCGATACTCACATCTTGGAGATTATTATATAAAATACCAGCACAAATTTATCAGTTCATTTCATATTCATTTAATCAGAATCATTAACAAAATGGAAATATATCTCTTATTTTCGATTTGACCCCCTTCTTCGTTATTTATACATTTCTTTTTTTCGTTGCATGGATAATATTATTAATCGAAAATAAGAAACAAACGAAATTCGATTATCTCGTTCGTTAAAATCGACAAACTTTAGACGTTTGTCAAAGATCCGACAGACATCATGAAGAAGTACATTTTGACATTGGCTACGTTTTTGCTTGCAACAGAACTCGTTCTTTTAGAGGATCCTACAGGGAAATCAGAAAACGTGTATCACGGTAGGTAAGTGCGTTCGTTTACCAATTATTTCTTTCTTCCTTTCCGCGCGTATATTCGACCAAAGGGGTTTCATATTATCATTAATGGAATCCATAAAAGGAAATTTTGTATTAGATATACAAGGAACGTACACGAAGCAGAAATTTTAATACCACGTCGAGTCTTCGAGGATGGTAGTTTCAATACCTACAATCTTCCGAATTTCTACGATCGTCGAGAAATCAATGAACGAACCAAAAGATCCGTGGACCCTTACCTTTTACATTTAGTGTTGCCCTTTAACGGGATCGATCATCACGTTGAGTTGAGCCCGTACCATGAGTTTATTTCACCACAAATGGTTATTGAAACACGATCCTCTGGTATTGGAATTGCCGGTAATCTCAACGAGGCCTTGAGATTTAAAAGAACCTCGGATCAACAGTGTCACTATAGGGGTATTGTCAGAGGCCATGACAATTCCAAAGCAGCTTTGTCCCTTTGCGATGGTGTGGTTCGTATTCATACAACATAACATTTTAATTTTACAATTGTTCTTTTGTAATCCCTTCATATAAATTTCACTATAAATCGATGACAATTATACTCGAAAACATTCATTTGGATTTTTTTCGAACACCCTGTTGTACGCATGTTCGTTAAAACACATAGGTAAAGTAGGAAGCAAATGAGTTATTCGAAATGGCGGCGGTCAGCCAAGAGTACTCGCAGATGCGAGTAGAACTAACAAGGTTAAGCTCGGCGCGTAGGAGTACCAAAGACGCTTTTAATCCGAAATTTACGATCGGCAGACACATCGGAATCGACTTGACATTGTGCCGCAACATCGTCGATCTATATGCAAATGAGTAATATTCATTTGCATGCATTTAAGTGTATAATAAGAGGCTTGATTAGTGTTTCAAGTAGTACCTACTGGTTTGAAAATGGTTACTGCGATTCGTCGTCGTCTTCGTCGTCGGCGTCGTCTGCCATCAGCCGCCATTACTGCTATTGCAAATTCGCCGACACATGCCACTCTAAACATAATACTGACGAGCCTTGTACGTTCATTGTGCCAGGAGATTGATATTGCATTCAGATTGTGCGTCGATTGCTTGCGTTGCAACGATGAATGTACTAACGTACGAGATAACTCGAGAGAGAAAGGGAAGAGGGGTAAGGGATAGGAGGGGAGGAAATGCAACATGCAAAAGTCTATGCAAATGCGTTACGATAATTAACGTCCGTTCGTGGCTCGTAAGATATCTTGCTTGTGTCAGGACACGTGTGAGTAAGATTGCCGAGAGGTAAAACGTTACGACGACGATTGCATACCTTGAATATTAATTTGTACGATTAACTCTTAAACGAGCTTTCGATTCGTACAAATATTGACACCGATCAATCTTCTTTTATATTCATCGAAATGTTACTACACGTTTTTCTCTTAAAGACAAATTTTCTAATAAAAACGTAAATAATTACATCTTATTATATTTTTGATGAAAATTTCGCGATTTAAATTCTGATACACATTGAGGAAGATTTAATGATAATGATTAGCCTTTGAGACAACGCGGCCAACTCGCGTAAAAGGTTGGCGTTTATTGTAGGCTACGACTAACTTATTCGTGCCTTCCTTATTTCTAATAACGGTTATTATATCGGGCAAGTCGGTAACATGACACGTTGATCGCGTGCAGGCTGGCTATGTGCAAACTAATCATGGACGATATTTCATCGAGCCGATGAACGAAGTCAAGCCTGAACTGGATGGTCAACATGTTCACATAGCTTATAAGAGAGATGCGCCTCATGAAAAACAAAACAACGAAAACAATTTAGCGAAAGGACATTGTGGAACTAAAGGTTCGTCATTTCCACCTCGTTATGTTTAATTAGATTTAATTGCTACCTTTATCGATCATTTTTAATCGCGTATAATAAATAAGATAATTATTATTCGCAGACGACTGGGAAAGTTCATGGGCAGAACAGTTGACAAAATTACAACATCGAATAGACAAAAACAATACTTTGGGATCAAAACGAGAAGTATCCTCGGGTACTCACAGCATTCATCGTTTTATCGAAATCGGTTTAATAGCTGACAGAAGATTTCTCGATTTTCATAATAACACCAACTACGAACAATACTTGTTGACGATCATGAATATGGTATCGGATTATTATCACGATAGTTCTAGCGGTAATCAGATTGATATCGTCGTAGTACGTATGATTTATTTGGAAAAAGAAAAAGAAGAGGTATCGTTGATTTTTTAATCTTTTCTATCCCTTGCGTAACCTTCTTATGGAGATTACCATAATGAAGAGATTACTTTCATTTCCGTATGACACAAGTTATTGCAGTGGCAATTTCTACAACCTGTTAACAAATTTTTCGATTGCAAGACAACAGTTGGACGTACTGTTTTCATCCAATTAAATAATGACATAGTAAAATGTAGGAATTTCCCGGATTGACATAATTCAATAAGAATTCAAACTATATGCGTAATGCATTAACCGTGTTATACAGGAGCTTACTGTATTTTTGTTTTTATTCGATCATTTTTCTTTACAATATATAGATAGACTTGTTCATAAGTCCAGACGCCGATAAAACACTTGCGAGTTTTGCCAAATGGGCGGACAAAATGAATCCGAAAGATCATAAGCATCCTAATCATTTCGACGTTGGGGTACTCGTGACTCGGTAACGATTTATACATTTTATGTATTATACATTTATTGTATTACGCACGCTAGAATGACCGTTAATACATTAATATCTCTCATACAATGAAATATCAGTAATGTTTCAATGCAAAATTGAAACACTTTGTAATAAAGCATTTTCGTGTTTACGATTATACCAAATTGATTTCTTATTATTAATCATAAATTATGTTGACACCACTTGGTGGGATAAAAATGATACATCCTACATATATCGTCCAATATTCATTACGTTCGCTGTCCCGGTGAGTCACATATAAATCAGAATATAAACCAGTTGCGAGTCGACATCATGGCGACTGGTCGAGATATCAAATGATAGGAAGTAACAAATAAATGTTAATTATAATCAATGATAAGTTGTTGATTTCTGACAAGTTGTATATGACTAACATCGTACAGATAGCAAATGTACTCTAATGTAATAATTTCTTAATAAAATCTTACATTAGTGATTATATATATATATGTATATTCTTATAATTAACTTTAAGGTATGACATTTGTACGGAAAAAACCAGTTGCGATTTGATGGGTTTGGCTTATGTTGCTACTGCCTGCAATCCTTCCAAAGCTGCTTGCATCAACGAGGATAACGGATTGTTGCTTGGAGTTGTGATTGCGCATGAAGTTGGTCACGTGTACGTTTATTTTCCAAATTTTATCCATTAAATTCTCAACATTTGTATCGATAATTATGACAGTAGACTAATTCTAAGTAAAAAACATGAATTTTTTATGATTTATTTTATATTCATTTATATTATATTTCTTTTTCTCTCAGAATGGGTTGCTCTCACGATGACGAGAAAATAAGCGGCTGTCCGAAACAAGACAAAGACGAAAGTTATTTCATCATGTCTCCTGTTGTCTTCATCTTCACGATCAGATGGTCGAGCTGCAGTAGAAGATTTATAACTTCATATTTAGAGTAAGCTCGTTAGTTTTCTTTCTACGTTGAATTGACATTTTTCAACAAAACGCAATAACTGTCATTAAAATTTAAGTTTATGTTATATATGATAATAAGGAGTGGCCTGGGTGAATGTTTAAACGATGACCCGAAAAGTCCTGGGGCCAAGTATTCCTATCCGAACATGTTACCCGGTGCTATGTACGGTACTGAGTTTCAATGTCAGATGCATTTTCCTGATTCAACACCCTGTTCATCTAGAGGGGTAACATATTTTTATTTATTACGTATTCATTAACATATCTTATTTACAACACAAAATTATATTCAACAATTTGACTCGATTTCCAAAAAAAAAATGGTCAATGGTTTGTCTTTTTAGTTGAATTTACTACATTTGTAGATAAAATAATTCAACATTTTTTTAAAATGTGTACAATTTATTTTAAATGATTATATTAATAAAAAACTTCAATTTGGGCTGGTTAATCATACGAAAATGCAACTCTAACTTTGAATATAGTCTTGTCGTTAAACAAATGCCAAATTCCAACTTGTGAAATTATCTGAAACTTTGTCTGATCTCTCTTTCTCTCTCTCTCTCTCTCTTTCACTTCAAATGTCTTGTTACTTTGCATAGCATCTTGTTGCATCTGTTCTTTTAAACTGATTCGATTATTCTCGGTTAGTGCATTTGCATGGCTAATTATATTCCAGTTCAGCGACTGTAAAGCTCTTTGGTGTTTGTCCAACTCAAGCTGCTATTCCATAGGAACACCGAAAGCTGATGGAACAAAATGCGGCGAGAATAAGGTCCATCTTAATTTATCCTATTTCTCATGTTTAGAATTGATTTATTTAGTTGTCCGATAAGTCTCCACTTATTATATAGATTGATTTTGTATTAATTTACTCTATGATATGTCATGTTTAAAACGCACGCGAGTAATGCGATCCTGAAGGCATTTAAGAGGAAAAGACGAAAAAACTTTTTCCTCGAACACATAAAAATAAGTTAATTTTTGGCTAACTTTATAGAATGAAAAAAAAAAAAAGAAATATAAGTATATAAATATAAAATTTGTTGGGTTCAGTGGTGCATTCACAAGGATTGCGTGGACATGGGTTCTCGGCCCGCTGCAGTGAACGGTGGATGGGGCGAATGGGGTTCGACGAGTTCTTGTAGCAGAACTTGCGGCGGAGGTATCAAATTTTCCGAGAGAGAATGCAACAAACCAGTCCCGGCAAATGGTGGTAGATATTGTGTTGGCGAGAGGAAAAGATTCAGCACTTGCAACACCACGGTAAATTGCGCTAACACTTTTGTGCGTTCGACTCCGAAAGAAGTTTCGAGAAAATGGACAAAATAATTCTACTTTTCCCTCGACGACGAGAATCGACCTTCCACGCGTGTACTTATCTGTTTCTTTTTTTTTTTTTTATCAAGTTTTCTACTATATTTTCCTTCCAGACTATTGTTTTTGTTTTCTTTTTTTCATTTTTTATGAAATAAAACATGGTTTCAATATGAAAGGTAAAAAGTGTTGAAAATAATTTCTATTTGAAATTAGAAATTTCCTATTCGATTGAATTTTTGTGGATTATTTTCCAGCCTTGCGATCCAAAAAAACCATCGTTCCGTGCAATTCAATGTTCCATGTACAACGATAAGTCGTTTATGACTGATGGAGTTCATGAATGGACGCCGTTTATGACCGAAACACTAGATACGTGTGCACTGTACTGTATCAACGAAAAAATGATTTATAGTAAACTATCCCCTTCTGCAAACGATTCGACTCCTTGCAAACCCGGCACGAATTATATGTGCATTTCCGGCGTTTGTAGAGTAAGATCACTAAACAACAAAATTCAATCTTATTTATTCTATATTAATTGAAAAATAAATAATAAAATTCCTAAAATGATGTTATAAATCGATTAAAAATGATTAAGAACATCATTTCATTTGTATGTAACAAATTTTTGGCTCACTTTGCGAGTTGGAGGCTAACTGCTAACGTTTTTGACAAATGTCTTACAATAATTATATTTTTCGTAACGAAAAAATATTTCAGAAAGTAGGCTGCAACTGGGTGGTTGATTCAGATGCAATTGATGACAGATGTGGCATTTGTAATGGTGACGGAACGAAATGCGAATTAATTGACGGTGATTATGACGAACTGTATCCTAAATCAGGTAAAGTTAGGATCTTCGTTTAAAACGCGCATAGTAGTATCACGCATAGTACCATATTTATAAGAAATTGTTTATCTAGCTTACGTGAAAATCGTAACAGTGCCAAGTGGTGCCCGAAGTATATTACTATTGGAAAAGAAACCTGCTGACAATATATTCGCGGTGAAAACGACTAAAGACAAGAAGTATTGTTTGAATGGTGGCAAGTAAGTGACCATTCTATTTGTTAGTCTTATATTAAATATACAGAGTGTCCCAGATTTTTTCGGCCAAACTACAGGAGCATATTCTACAAGTAGGAAATAAGAGAAAAAATTTATTCAAAGTTCGATTAGAAACGTTTTATTACTAAGTTGTAAACTATTTTACTTGCAATATGTCAACACACTTGCAACTGTACAAAATGCAAAGATCATAATGAAAAAGTGTAGAACATTTCAAATAACTGTACTTATGATACACGTTTGATAAGATCTCATAATAAGCAAAAGGTAGAAACAATCAACCAGAGAAACGATTTATTTTATTAGTCGAGAAGAAAGGAGTGGCGACTATGAATGTGCTGGTTCGATGATTATTTACACACGTCCAGAACCTAATAAGGAAGAAATTGCTATAAAAGGTCCTATCACCGAAGATATCGATCTCGAGGTACATTCAGTGACTTTCAAAATGGGTCATTTATTCATTCGAAAAATAGAATTGATCGACTTGATTAGTAAAACCTTAAATAATTTCTTATTAAAAATCATAAAAGTAATTCTACTGTAATGTCCGAATACTTTGGATAGTATGATTTAAATAAAACGTAACCAATGTTATCCTTGTTTCAAAGGAGAAATCTAAAAAAGAAGAAATAATAAATCTTTTCTCGTCTATCCTTTCAGTATGTGTTTTTCACTGCGAAATTGAATCCAGGAATTCACTATGGCTACTCGATTGGATCGTCGAACGTGTCTCACGCACCGAAATATATGTGGGATTTTGTCGAGTGGTCGGAATGCAATGCCAAATGTGGTGGTGGTTCGATGGTAACGTAAATATGTATTTACTAGTGTAAACGTTCAAAGAACGATCGTATTTCGATATTACTGAGAGACTCGCGAGTCAACAAGTTTAACATTTCCTTCTCTCATATGTATTTTCAATTTTTTATGACAAAAGGTGAAAGAATTTTCGAATTTTCTTATTTCAAAATTGACGATTATAATTATTATGATCAATGCGCAGGTGTCTGAAGCAACTTGTGTTGAAGAAAGCAGTGGAAAAGTTAGTCCATCGTTTTGCAGCAGTATTCCTCAGCCAGATGCAAAAAGCCAAGTTTGTAATAAGGAACCCTGTGTTGCAAAGTAATGAAATTTCATTGAAAAAGATGATTTTTGTTATTCCCCAGTTTTCATATAGAAATGTTCATTCCTATTGGTATTTGGAACATTCATTATAATTGTTTATTTTTGTTTGAATGTTAACTGCACAAAAATGTATGCTTGGGAAACATTCGGAACGATACCTTCCCTTTAGGTGGAGAGTAAGTCAATGGAGCAAGTGTAACGCATGCGACGGTAACAAAGGCACGAGGCATCGTAAAATCCAATGTATGAGAATGAGCGGGCAACCCGATGAGGAAGCCATTGAAGCGAATTTCGATGCTTGTCAGGGTCGCGTGCCACAACAAACAGAGGAATGCATTGGTACGGAAAATTCATTTCTATTACTTTGAACTTCTCCTTATTTACTGAAAACTTCGAAAAATGTTGTCAGTTTTTCACTTGAAATGATCTTTAAGAAAGATTATTCATGATTTTTCTTCTTGATTATCAGGTGAGAGGCCTTGTAAAAAAATCTGCGATAAGAAAACTCGTGATTCTTCGAGAAAAGAATTGATCGAGGACAAGGAGAACGATGAAAATTTATCGGAAGATGAACGTCGTAGAATGATCGATCGGTTTGTTGATTTAGAACTGGCACGTTATCTTGAAAGTATTCGTGCTTCGACGAAAATCACGGATAGAAGCGCCGATAAAAATGAATCGAATGATTTCCGACGATTCATACGCGATTGGGTTATGAATTCGGAAGAGGAAGAGATGGAGAACGATAGAAAAAAATCATGCGAATTCAGTGAGAAAAATTTTACTACGCCAAAGCCTGGCTCGATAATCAAGGATTCGATTCCGGAAGAAAACGTTGTATTGCTTCAAGCACCTTACAACGAAGAAATCTTAATTTCTAATTTATCGGACAAAGCATTCCACGAAGCTGGCGATGTTATCGGAACGAGTATCGATACCGAACATCAACAAATTTATAAAGGCTTGGAAGCTGTTAAGATGATAGAACAACTTCATCATAAAAAACAACCGAGAAATAATGCAAACCAACAAAATTTGACTACTTAGAAAATATCAAATAGATTTCATTTGATGATGGTTAGTTTAACTTTGTTCTTAATCACTTTTCTTTAAATTCCATGTTAGAATCTCAATTTTAGGATTATGTATATATATATATACGTTTCATTCGAAAAGCAACGATAAACGATATCTTACCGAAAAAATGATTGTCGATCCATAAAACTGTACTATAATTATGTACTATAATTCTCGATTTAGTAGAACGAGTTTCTTCCACTGCAACGTTTCTCGATTCAGCTGGTACATCGACTATCATCCTGAATTCTGACGTTATCGAAAGATACGCATTAATAACAGGATATGAAAGAGAGAGAGTTATTAAAGGATAGTTAATTAGTCGCTAATTAATGGACTTGATTGGTCTTGGATTACTATCGTTCCTTCCTAGATCTTGCAGGATGCGCTGTCACCTCGGCAAATCTCGCTAACATCTTTGACCGCGTTGGATTCCATATAGAGATCGCATGGTATCTCTTTGCAAACGCCAACCACGCGGATGTTGCAAATGCCTCTATGTAGCAACTATTACCATCTACGACCTTTGACATTAATGACGTTATTAGATCCGTATTGCTTAGGCAATATGGAATATTGCCGAGCCCTATCCACCGAGTATAGATTTTCCGTAGCTTTCAAGTCTAATTAGAAATTGCATCGTTTTCTATTAGAAAGGAAGAGAGCATAACAATATAAGAGGAAAACGACTAGATGATTCTACGAACCAACCGACTTTAATTTCAGTGGCTAGTGCCGAATAATTACCTACCACCCCGAATATTTTATGGTGCAAACATTTTATGTCGCACAATTAACACGAGCTCAATTTTATTTAATATTAATCAGGATTCTCTCGAATAAAACTTATATTTTCGAAATTACGATGTTCGTCGTCATTTTATTTACCTCCAAATAAATTTCTTTTTATTCTCGTTCAGGTCGCTAATAAAAAGCATTCGCACAGTAACCACGTAAAATCATATTAACTGTTACAAATGTCGCGTTATATTATATGTACTACGATATCGTTTCATTTTACCACTGTGATAAGTTTACGAGCACCATTTTTCCAGAATACTAGTTAGGAACGTGCGATACCGTGCAAGGAATAATAAAATTCTAATATACGGGTTATTCGTTCCTAATTTCGCAAAACATGAATCAAATTTTTCTATATGCCTCTCTAAATTACGTTTCAATGAAAAGAGAGAGATAGAGAGATAGAGAGAGAGAGAGAGAGAGAGAGAAAAGAAACACTTTTATTGGTTCTATGCTTTATTATTCCGAACTGAAAAATTGCAAAATTCGACTTATCGTAATGAAATATTTCTGATACCTAAATACTTATCCAAAATAATTGTAAACGTTAAACTGAAAATATCAATTCACGTATTATTTAAACGTAACGACATATCGTTTAAGAATCATTGGTTGTTTGAAAATCTAAACATAAATCGTAAATCGACGATTATATAGAAAAAATGGAAAAAAATGAAAATTGAGTTCGACGATCGGCCGAACGAGCTAGCAGGGAACAAAGCGATTAACATTGTCAGATTCAGCCAGGCAATTAGAAATTGCCTATTAGTAGGATTCCGGTGAAAAACTATAGGTGTATAACGTCACCGGTAGTATGAAATAGAAGGAGAAAAAGAAAGAGACAAAAAAAGGGATGGAATACCAGTAGTTCGTTGCACTGACAGTGCGTTGCTAATGATTTTGGTTTGTGCGTCCGTTTCGCTGCATTCTCTTTCGTTGGAATTGTTAACATCCCTCCTCGCGAACCTCCCGAACCACCCTCTTAGCCCTTTATCACCCAACCAATACTATGGCTACGGTTTATTAACATTATAACATAAATATGAACGTACTCTTGCAACTAACTTGCAACTATATATGTTCACGTTTGATAAGAATTTATTATTTTCATATATAAACTATAATACAAATTTCTTTCTAATTTAAATCATGTTAATTACTCGTTGTAATTTAAAAGCGATAATTTTTGGGTGGTTTCCTTCCCGACACGCAACCCTTTCTTGAAATAGCAAAGTTCAGAGTCTCGCAGTTGTGGAAAATGAAAAAGAAACGTTTCACGCATAGCTGCTTGGGTTGGAAGCCTTTCTTTCGTGCTGATTGCGATATCGTTTTAACGATGATGACGCTATTCTCATTTCTTATCTAACATTAGAGAGGGTTGAAGATGGTAATGGTAAAATTATCTGGATAAATAGATATAGATATGAAAGGGAATAAGAAAGTAATGATTGTTATATAAATAAACATTTTCCTAAACGGATAAAGTAGAAATGCATTTCAGTCAAGAAGCAATTGCAGCTTGATGATACTAACGACAGATGGCACCTTTTTACAGTCGGTATACAAAGTGTCGTACAAAAGTTTTGGGCCTATTTTTGTTTTTTGTCATTTATTTAATCGTCTCAAATATTTAAGAGAGCTAAAATATTGATAATAGCGTGAAATATTATTTTTTTGCATGACGTATTTTTTGTGTAATGCGTGCAACGAGTTACGACGGTGTGGGGAAAATATTCGGTTGTTTTTTTTTCTGATGAATTAAAATTTCAATTATTCGGAAGTACGTAAGACGTCCAACAGGTAGCAAATATAATGTAAGATATTAAATTTAACAAAGTAGTGGGAAAGCAATAATAGAATGGCCCGAAACTTCTGCACGCAACTGTATGCAAAATCTATTTTACAAGTTGAAACCTTATATTAGATCCTCTATTCTCTCTCCTCGCACCCCAAATTTCACTGAACTTATGACAAGTTTCCAAATCCAAACTAATTTCATTAACGATCAACAAGAAAACATGACTTGCAAGTTCATCCCGATATTTCTTTTTGCTAAAATCCTATATGCTTTTTTTTCTGAAGATTTTCGTTTGAAATTATATTAAAGAGAGTAAGAAAAAAGATAAAACTAATAATTATAAAATAACATACACTAAAACATTACTAACAACTATACATTCGCTGGAAAATATTTTCTTAAATAAAGAAACTCATTCCTTCGCAGAACCTTTCGAGAATCCTCTCGCACATTATCCTTTAAAGTTCCCTTGAGATTCTATAGAACGACAAGTAGTTTTGTTTTGCTACACGAGCACATACTCACGATATATGCACATTTATCGGGTGTTCAAAATAAAACGACAAATAAATATTTTGTCAAATATCTTTGAAAATATCGAACAATATACAGAAAAATATATCAAATAATAGTTACTTATTTATCCTCTGTAAATAAATTGCCATTAGAAAAAAATCAAAGTTGTAATTAAAATGAGCTTAAAAGATATTCCATTAAATAAACAGTTGACTTAGAAGGACAGTGTCAGGTAGTCCAATAATGACATTTTTTTAAGGATAAAAATGTACGACAATTAATTTAGAACACTCAGTATATACATACGTAAAAACTTTATTTATAAATGTTGTTCGATTTCAATCTATTAAGTAAGTATACGTTGAAGTATGTATAGACAAATCAAGGAATGATTCATGCACGCGCACACAGACACACACGCGCGCGAAAAGAAACGTTATTTATTTCGTTGGAGGTTGAGCAAGAAAAATGGAAAGCATAGGTTTCGTTTGTAAAGAAACTCGGTGAATTTTCAAATAGAATGAGGAAATTTTGCTCTCTAGTATTAGGTCCCGGTGGAACGACGAGAAAATTCCATAACAGAATCGATCGACATTGTCCCGAGCAACATCACGAAACTCAGAATGGATCTTCGAAAGGACCATCAACGTTTCGACATAAACGACAACATTTTCGCGTATAACACACACACACACACATTTCTTTTAGTGCTTACCTACATGCACTAGAAAAGCATCGCGAATGAAATATTTTCTAGAAGGGATCTAATGTGTTCTCTCTGTATAATTTTTTATACAGGGTGTCTTGGCCCACTTAGATTTGATTATTTTCAACTAAATTTGTATTTACTTTAGATTATTTGATTAATCCTTAAATAGTAAATTACAAAAACGATCCTTTTGTTCTCTTTAATATTTTTCCCAATAAAATATATATGGATTATCTCGATGGATGGTAACAGTTTACGTTGCAGTGAAACTCGCGCACATGTAAATAAATAAATAAGAATAAAAGCGTGAAAAAGCTCGACATTGTCTCTACCTCGCATGCGAGCTTAATGTTACGTTTTCGCTGTCACAGCTACTATCTCTTCTCTTTTCTTTCTCTAACTCCCCTTCTTTTCTACTCTTTGTCTCGCTATGACGATCGAGAAAAATAAACGAATTTAGAAATGTAAGAACTTTGCGAGTATTTTCTCAAAATACACATAAATATTGTACTTTTTCACATTACGAAATAATATATAGAAAAAAAAACACGAGTTATCACATAAGAGAATAATAATCGCATATGATAAATTAATAAGTGAAAAATATATAATAAACAATATAAATTGATATAATATTAGATTTGAAAATGTAACAGAACATTTAACTAGACTGTCTAGCGATTTTGTTTCTATAGATTTCAAATAAAGCCCTCTTTCTTCGCGTATGATTTAATAAAAGAAATTATTTAACATTGTAATTTTTGCTCGAGACAGCTTTGATAAAATAGCGCTTGTGCGAATTCCTACTTGAAAATAAGTCAGAGATTGTAAGAGACTTTGATAAACTCGTCTCAGTGCACATATTCCTCACATAATGTCCACGATCATTGGAGAAATGAGAGAAACCTCGAATGTCACATTTTCTTTTTCCAAGTAGCAACATCAGTGGCTTTCAAACTATAATCTATATTATCAGATCGAATGCATAATTTTGGTCATATTTTTCCAAAAAATATTATTAAAATAAATCTAATTAGCCTTTAAACGTAGCAGTTACGAATAATTCTTATTCTTTTTCTATTATCTAAATCTACACAGCAAATTCATTAAAATTATATTAGTATGTAATAAAACATTGAATTAGAC